TCCACAATACCCTGAAAATGACTGCTTCTCAGTTAGAGTCATTTCTTAGCAGATCAGTCAGAAATTCAATTCTGAGAACAATAAAATGATGTTAACTTAGGAGAGGAGGGCTTTAAAGGTCTCTGATTTCCTCCATCAGACAGCCCAGTCTACCCTCCTCTGTGCGGCTTCCTGCACTGCCCAGAGTTAACCCTGGTCCTTGGCAAACACTGACTACCTGCAAATTGTGGCAATTCTAGTTTAAAGAAATTTCTTAGAGTTCAAGAATGGAAATTCAACATAGTGAAACATACAAAATATTGTTCAGGCTTTTTTTCCAGTTACTGTTTTTGGCATACTCTGCCAAACTCTGGGTAATTGCTATAGTGTAGATGCAGCTGGAGTGTGGCCCTAAGGGTTCATGTGTTGGAGGCTTGGTCACCAGGGTAGTGACATTAAGAGGAAGTGAGTCCTTCGAAGCTAGGGTCTAGCGACGGACTCACAGGTCACTAATGGTATTTTAACAGGGTTAACACAGTTTTTTGTGGGACTCGTTGGTTAGAACCTAAGAGTTCTAAAGAGAGAGCTGCTGCTATAGAACAGCAAGCCTGACCACTTCCCGCCTTCTTGGCTTCTTACCAGGCCATAAGATCTGTCCCCACCTGCTGTGCCCATGCTGCCATCTGCCAGGAGTCCTCACCAGAGCCCAGATGACATCAGTGCTATGGCCAGTGTTGAAAGGTGAGAAAAATAAACTTCTTTTCTTTTTACAAGCTTTTCTTTGGGAAGTATGATCAAAATACACAGTGAACATAAAAACTTTTCTTATAGTACAATATACATTGTCATTGTCCCCCCCAAAATGCCTCCCCTCCCTTCACACACACTGCTCCCCTTGCTCTTGCCACCTTCTGAAGCAGCGCTGGAAAGTCCTCTTTCGTGTCTATGAGAGCCGACTAAAATATGGTGCGTGCTACTACTAAGTACCATTAAATGCAAGACAGGTCTATAAAGCCATCATGGCATTTCTCTGCCCACTGTCTTACTTTATTTTGTGGCTGAGACAAAAATCCCTAATACTGAAAGTGAAAGGAGGAAAGTTTTCTTTTGGCTCACAATCTGCACAGGTTTCAGTGTGTAGTCAGCTGTCTCCACGGCAGGGTGACATGGCAAAGGGGTGTCACAGAAGAGAAAGTCCACAGCAGCACAGGCAGGAGCAGCAAACACAAGCCTCCCTCCCTTTCTTTGTATCCCACCTGGAGTACAACCTTGTGGGCAGTGCCACCCACACTCAGGCTGGGGCTTCCACTATCCACACCAGAACTATGCTACACCAATTTAGTGGTTACATGCCCTTAAATCCCAACTCAGCATGGCACACCCATGATCCACTCACCTCCTAAGAGCCTCCCCTACAAGAGCATGAAGCTTTTCAGGGAACATCTATACACAAGCCATCACACCCACCTCCACTCAGTCCGACACCATGAAACTTCTGGCTTTTCCCTAAAGTCAGAATGACCATAAAAGGTAAACTTCTAAATACTCAGGACAGGGCAACTAAACATGCTCAGCAAAAAGGACTTCAAGAACTGCCTTAGAAAGTAACAAGATAAAATAAGTGTATTTGGAGAGGGAGCATTTTTAGGGAGATTAATGGTAATATCTTTTACTGTAATGTTTTGAATTTAAACATTCACTGTATGTTCCAATCATACCTTGTGTAAATATCTAGCCTCAGGTGTTTCATTATATTAGTAGAATAACTGATACAATAGCTATCCTTGTACAGATGGCTTTCCTATTGAAATCTCCTCCTAAAACTAATTCTGGCGTTCTATTTTCCACTATCCACCTAGTTTAAATTCTGAATGTTCTTCACTATTTGACATAACCATCAACTTAAGGCACTATTAGGCATCGGGAAAGGATTTACAGAGTTCAGTAAGGGAGTCTTAACTCAATTGTAGCAACACAGTAAGGCAGACAAACCAAAGGCCAAATAAGACAGAAAACAGAATCCTTAGCTAAAAGCAAATTGGAGAAACTCAGAGCTAAGAACTATTCTACAATGAGAAAAGAGCATTGGTCGTTAGAGAAGGACTAACTCTGGACTAAGAGGCAGACAGAGCTTTTTAAAAAAAAAAAGAGCAGAGGTGTTTAGAGGAAACTTTCCTTTAAGAATCAAATTTTATTAACCTCCCCGAGGTTAGCTCCCACACACCTGTGACAGATTGCACTGCATGGTACAGTGGAACATTGTTTTGAAATAAATCTCCCTCACTCCATAAAAATGATGTTTTATGACTAGGGCCTTGCTAATTTTTCACCCATTTAGATTCTGCCTGACAGAAAAAGTTGACACTGTTAAATAGTATTAAGTTCTCTGAGCTCTCTCAGCCTGTGGGGAAAAATTCAACTGCTATCATATAAATCCAGCCAAGTTAAATATTTGGGACATGAATGTGAAGAGAGTGAAGATAGTGTCTTTTGTCTTCTTGTTGTTGAGAATTAACAGACTAACAGACTATATATATATATATATATATATATATATATATATATATATATATTCATTCCTGGGGCTGTGCAATCTGGTATTCCATGATGCCCCGAGTGATGAATTTACCAAATCTAAGAGGAAAAGCCTACAAAGGCCCATAGTCCCACCAACAGCAACTTCCAAGTTTTCAGGTTTTGGTGTCAGTGGTGGAATAAATTATTCAGTCTTCACATGCACATTCTTCACTTTCTGTTTTACACTGTGTGCGGTCACTGACTGGTAAGATGAAATATTATTGTACAGTTCTCCCTCCTTTCAGATTCTTGGTGCTATTCTGGGTAAATGTGGACAAGTTCCAACATCTGAATAACAGGCACCAAAACCATTTTTAAATCAAATTTAAAGGCTAAGACATCAGCAATATTACCTAATAGAAGGAGTTTGGAATCTGCAGTTAGTCCCAGTCTGGCTACTTCAAGCTTCCTAACAGGCAGATCACCAGTCAGTTGATGGAAATAGAGTTCCCATTTCTATCACTATGGAAGAAATGATAGTGTCACCTTCCAGAATACTAAGTGTTGCATCAAGTGATAAATAAGGTGCAAAATAAGAGAGACGAGTCAGTACCTTTGCCTCACCTTTTGGAGCTTGCTCAAGTCTCAAAAATTTAGCCAGAATTGGGACTAGGAATGAGGTACTAGGAATAAGGCTATTCAAACTCATGTCTACACAATGACCAGTTTTTCCATTCTGAAGTGTTACCTGCCCCACTCCAATGATTCTCAGACCTTGGAGCACATTAGAATCATAGAATCATGAATCTATACATCCTAATGTATACATCTTAATGTATACATCCTCATGTATACATCCACATCCTAATGCCCAGCCACACCCAACACTAAATCAGAATGTCTCAGGCAGTTATCAATTTTGTTCAAAGAGCCCTTCAGGTAATTCCATTATAGAGTGAAATTTGGAAACCAAACTCCTTCCTATAATCACCTGAGGCTATCTTCTACCTTGTTTTTGAAGTATGGCCAACTTCATAATGAGAATGAAAAGCCAGGAAGCCAAATCCACCTTCCTCCGGTGAGCTCAGTAGTGGTCTCCTGTCCTAGCTCTGTGTTCCCTGGGCAAGAGTCAGCCAGGAGCAAAGGTGAGCCTAGGAGCAGGAGAGCAGAACAGACACCTGCTTAAATTCTAGGATAAACAGAAGTTGTATAAAGAGAGATTCTAACCTTAAATAGAACTGAACAATTCTAGGTCCACCTAAGAGAAGCAGATTTCCTCTCCAGAAAACAACTCAAAGATTTTAAGTCAAAGTCGGATTATGGATCTGCTGAGATTGTAGCTGGATCGCCTTCATGGAAACCTTTTTTGTCTCAGACTATTTCAAGACTAGGATTGCATGAAATACACTCTGAAAGCACTATAGCAGTGCTAAGATTTCTGTCCTACAGAAGATACTCAACAAAGTCTAGAAACATATTTGCTTTTTTGGGGGGCGTGTGTGAGGGGTACCGGGGATCTAACTCAAGACCTTGCACTTGCCAGGCAGGCGCTTACACAATTGAGCTATCTCCCCAGCCCCATATTCAGTTGTCTTGTCTGGAGATCAGCAGCCCATATCTGTATCTGCAGAGGCAAGGAATACTAGGAAATATGCAACTGAAGGACAAGACCATCACTACAAAGACCCAACTATCAACAGTGGCACAGTTGTAAAGCTGTGGACCTCCTCCTCCCATGGATTTCTCCCTATCCTCAGAAACAGATGATTATGATGAAGAAAGATTTATAAACAGAATAGAAGAGAAAAAGAGGAAGAAAAAAGATGAAACGAGGAAAGAAGAAAAGGCATCCAGCTTCCTAACTGTCAGATGTTGGAAGCCACCCATGTGTCCTTAAGAAACCAAATGGGTAAATACACTGTGGTCCATCCAGACAAAGGAAGAACATTCTGAACTAACAAAAAATGTGCTATCAACCTATGAAAGGACATGAAGGAAATTAAATACACATTCATGTGAAAAAAGCCAAACTGAAAAGGCTGCATAGTCCTGACTCTATGACGTTCTGGAAAAGGCAGACCTGTGCAGATGGTGGAAAGATCAGTGGTTACCATGGATGGGGGAGGTGAATAAAGGGAGCACAGAGATCTGTAGGACAGTGAGATGACATGTAGGATTGCACTGTTGTGGATGCATCGTACGTGCATCTGAACCCAATGTACACCAAAAGTGAATCCTAATATAAGCTATGGGCTTTGGCTAGTAATGATGTGTCAATGTAGATTCAACAATTGTAACAAATGTACCTCTTTGATGAGGGATGTTGATAGTGGAAGGGGCTGTGCTTGTGTTGGAGCAGAAATACGTGGGGAATTCTCTATCCAATGCTCACCTTTGTTGTGCATTCAAATTTCTCTTAAAATGAAAGCTTTTTTTTTTTTTAGAAAAGAAGAAAGAAGAAGCAAGACTGGCAAGCTGGTGTTGGCTGTCCCCAGCCTCCACAGCCTTTATTGCTTCTCTGAGTTCAGGAGGCCAAGAGTGCCCTATGTCACCGGAAATCTGGTGAGCCGTGGCCAGGGAGATAAGGCAGGGGACTCTGTTTTGCCTGGTGGATGTTCTGTGCCTGAACTCCAGGTCCTTCTTTGCGATGAAGGCCTCAGACCCTGCTGGGCTTCTTGGGGTCCTTGCTCTTGGCGGGCATGAAGGCATACAGCTCCTCGATGAGCATCTCCATGCGGGAGGTGACCTCGGTCATCGTGTCGATGACCAGCCGCTGCTGCAGCTTCAACTTATTGTTCTCCCATAGGGCCTTGTTCTCCTCTTGGAAGGCGCGGTGCTCCTCTCGCAGCACGTGCAGGGCCCTGTTCTCCTCCTGCAGGAGCCGGTTCTCCTCGTGCAGGGTCTGCAGTGCCTGGCCCATCTCTCTCAGCAACTGCAGCGGCCCGGGTCCTGCCTTACCTTCTTCTTCCCTGGACGGCCCCCGCCCGGACAAGTTGCCAATCAGCTCCCGCAGGGCGCGCAGCATCTGGATGTCTTCCTGCGGTGTCACGGGACCTTTGGGCTCCTCGAAGGGGGAGGAGAGGCCCGGGCCCTGATCCGGCAGCAGCCCTGGGCTGTGGGGCTCCTCGTGCGGAGAGGGCCCAGATGGGCTGTTCTCTGCGGCGGCTGCCTTGTCGTCCACCCGGGCCCAGTAGGCCTGGCTCTGCACCAGCAGCTGCTGCAGCGCGCGGTTCTCCTCGCGCAGCAGCTGCAGGGTGCTGTTCTCCTTGCTGCGCTGGGCCGGCGGGGCCGCGGGTTCCTTCTGCACCGCCTCTTGGGACGCGCTGTCCTTGCGCCGCAGCGGAGAGGGCGGCTGGCTGGCCTCGCAGCCAAGTGTGGCCTTGTGCTCCTCCCAGAAGACCTGCAGGATCTTGTTCTCCCTGCGGAGCGCCCGGTTCTCCTCGCGCAGAGCCCGGTTCTCCTCGCGCAGGCACCTGCTCTCCTCCTGCAGCAGGTACTCCTTGGCCAGCCTCTTGTGGTGCAGCTTGTGGTGCAGGGAGGAGGACGGGGAGAAGTGTGGTGACTGCGGCCGGTAGTTCTCGTTCACCCACCGCCCGTCCTGGAACACGAACATCTCGTCGCTGAGTTGCACGCGAGGAGGGTTGTAGTCCAGCTCCAGGTCGGCCTGGGAGGTGGGGCGGTCCATGGGGTCGAAGGGCACTGAGGAGAAGCGGTTGAGCGGGTAGGAGTGCTGGCTGACCACCCGGCGGCTCAGCCCGGGCCCAGGGGCCTGGCGCGAGCAGCGAGGAGTGCTGTACAGGTTGTGGAGCCTCAGGTAGGGCTCCGCCGTGCCTCTCTGCGGAGAGAAAACAGAGAGCCGCAGCGTTAGCGGTTGACTGAGGCACCGATCGCGGTGGGGGCTGGGAAGACCGGAAGGCTGGGACACTCCAGTGAGCCGTGTGGCCTGGCTGCTGAGTGCACTTTGGCCTCCTAGGGTCCTCACAGAGCTCTGTGTCAGTGCATATCATACCAGCTAGCTCTGCCCTAGAAAGTCCCCAGAAGCACTGAATTAGGCTCCTGCAAGCCTCCTGCAAGCCTCCAGTCATGACGTTGCCAGCTAATCACTACAAGACCTTGTTTTACCTGTGTGTGTCTAAAGACGCTTGCACTAACATCTATGATTGACTCATTAACGTTGCAGGTACCATCAAGCCCTGTCGCTCCCATTTGAAAACTTAGCTAGTTTGACCTCCTCCACGAGCTGCATCAGCCCTCCTGTGATCTGAAGTGCCAGGCCCTGGGCGCACTACACCTGGAAGCCATTTTAGACAGGTACATCACCAAATTTAAACAGTTACATAAAAACACAAAAATTTCAGAAACATGGCACTAGTAAATTCCAAAAAGGACACTATTTTCCAAATGTTGAAACAAAAGAGCTCCTCAGCTGGAGACATATAACCACCCTGTGCAGGAACAACAAGGGCTGGGAAAGTACCTGGGGTTACATTTTTTAGTGAGAAGGCAAATTCACAAATATAAAATCCCCAAATAATGAGATTCAGGTGTATACGATGGAGGCTAAAGGCATAGTTTTGTTTTTTTTTTTTTGTTTTTTTTGGGGGGGGGGTTTGGGGGGGTATTGTTTTTTGAGGGAATCGGGGATCGAACTCAGGCCCTTGCACTTGCCAGGCAAGTGCTTATTCTACTGAGCCATCTCCCTAGACCCTTAAAGGCATAGATTTTAGAATCAACCAAGTTAATTTTGAGTCCTGGCTTCACTGCTTATCAAGAATTTGGGCAAATCATCAGAAGTTCAGTACCTACAGCTTTAAATTGGGATAATTGTACTTTCTTGCCTCATATTTTAAGGTCTAAAATAGGTGAAGTACAAAAGCACTAAGCATGGGTGCTGGCACATCTTTTTACCCTGCAAGAAAGGCAAACACTTTTCCAAGCTACCTGCCCACAGGTATATGCCTTCACTTGGTGTGAGCAGAGAGGCAGCACGAATCCCACCAACACACCCAAATGGCGAGACAGGAGGAGCTGTTGGCCATCCCAGCCTTCCCCTTGGCCCTTTAAACTAAAGCTCATTCTGTGCTCTCACTGCCCTGGAGTCCAGCCTGCAGCTGCCCTGAAACAGCCACTCAGCCATTGACTTGGGGTGAGGTTCAAAGACCGGTCTGGCCAATAATTTTGGAAAGAAGAGCCTCATTCCAGATTTATCACTGAGTGACTGGCATTCAAAATGTGGGAGTGAGAACAGCAAAAGGCAGGAAAGCATTCCTACGGGGAATCTCATGGTGGTGCTGGGATCTCAAAGCCACAGTGGAAAAACTGGGTCAGACCCACACCATTCAAGTCCAACAGAATGGGCCATGGAGATAGCTCAGCGTTCTAAGCACCTGCAAGGATCTGGGTTCAATCCCCCAGCACCATAGGCCACACCAGCCCCACCCACAGGCACCCTGAGCCAACCACCAAGATTAGGAGTGGTGGCACACACCTGTAATCCCAGCAGTAGGAGGCTGAAAACAAGAGGATCACTATGAGTCTGAGCTGCGTAGTGAGACCCTGTACAAAATACATAAAAATAAATAAATAAATAAATAAATAAATAAATCCAACAGGTTAGTGGCACACTTCCCGGTGGAGAGGACTAATCAAAGTGGCATTCATACTTCTACATTGTTTTACAAGATCTGGAGTGTGGTCCAGGAATCTGCCTTTTTACCCCACTCTCTTGGGTGATCTGGTACCAGATGGTCAGAAAAGCTCTAAGCCAGGAACAAGGTGCAGTTTGCCTACATCAGGTTACACCAGGGTTGAAGACCAAAAGTCAAGACTGCATTTCATGGTGGGCCGGCAAGATAGCTCAGTGGACTAAAGTGCCTACTTAGGCAAACTGAGGAAAGCAGAGGGACCGCAGTTCGATCCCCAGCTCCACATGCTGTGCCAGCCCCACCCCCAAGGCAGGTGGAGCAGACCAGGGTCCAGGCGTAGTAGTGCATGCCTCTAATCGTAGCACTGGGGAGGCTGAGCACAGGCAGATCACTATGAGTCCAAGCTACACAGTAAGACCCTGGAAACCCTGTAGACCCTTACTAAAAATAAAAAAAAAGAGAGAGAGAGAGAGAGAAAGAAACGAAAGAAAACTAATGGACCTTCTCACCCTGTCTGAGATCCAGATGTTTGACTAGAGAAAAAGGGAGAGTCAGGCTGCCAAAAGGCACCTTCAAACATTAAAAAGTAGCAAAACATATGGATAAAAAAGAATAATGGCATATGTCCCACTTAATTCACACCACTGCTGTGAAGAATGAATGAGAAAATGTACCTTAATATTGTAAGATATTGTTACCAAGAACAGTAGATTTAAGGGCTGGGGAGACAGCTCAGTGGTCTAAGCATCTGCCTGGCAAGGAAAACAACCTGGGTTCGATTCCCAGTACTGCATGCCATGTGGGCATGGTGGCACACATTTGTAATGCCAGTGCTGGGGAGGCTTAGACAAGAGACACTATGAGTCCAAGCTGCATAGTGAGACCCTGTACCAAATAACCAATAAAAGCTTTTTTAAAAAATTTGAAAAAGAAAAGTAGATTTCAATAATGCAAGAACTGTGAGATGTATTCAGAAAGAAGCAAACAGGTAGAAAGCACACTGGAGAAGAGATTACCATTGCAGCAATGAATCTAAATAAAAATAAGATTATGACAACTATTTTTAAATACACCAAAAGCATCTCATACAAGTATATCAAAATGCTGTGCAGATATCAGTTCCCCATTTCTTGTGTTATTTTTACAATTTTACGGAGATAGAAGGTAGAAAACAAGTCAAGTTACCCATGCTATATATGTGTATACAGAAAAATGGCATTTTTCTGGTGTATAAAGTTGATAAAAAATTCTTTTAAAACTCAAAGAGCTAGATAAATAGAAGACACAGTTCTATGTCATTAATTTTGCACTAAACGCACGTCATTAGCTTTTGTAAGGGCATCCTCAGTCTTCCAGCTAGCAAGAGAATGAACACATTCTGCAGAACCTTATTTACTTTCAATTAATTCAGCCCCCCTTAGATTTCACATTTCTCAGTTGGAAAAACACATTGGCTGCTCTGGCCAATCTGTGAGCAGACTGAACCTCACTGTGGATAACCCAGATCATGCCTTTGTGTAGATAAGTTTCCTGGAGCCCGAATTTCTGAAAAGGTTAGCTAAGTTGTACAAGGAAAGAATCTGGAGAAGCCCTCTGCACCCCCGCACAATGAAGGCAGGGCTCCCTCTTAGCAGGATCTGGATCCAGGAAATGCTATCATGAAAACTACATTTTAGTCAACAGTGTATATCCTAATCTTGCTTTTAAAAAAATGAAAAGGAAGCAAAGTATTTGGGCCGCATTTTATTCTCTGTTCCAAGAATTCTACCCATAGAATTGATTTAATCTCCACAATATGGGCTATAAAATATTATCACAGGTTGGTAAAAATCCAAAATCCAAAATGCTCCAGAGTCTGAAACTTTTTGAGCACTAATATGATGCCACAAATGGAAAATTCACACCTGACCTCCTAGGACAGGTTTCAAGTGAAATAGAGGTACACTAAAAGTATTGCATGCAATATTTTCAGGACACATGTATAAAACATACATGAAGCATATATATATATGAAGTATATATATGAATAAATTCCTTCCTCAATATATCTCATGTATATGCAAATATTTCCAAAATTCTAAACCAAAAAAAAACCCTACGAAATCTGAAACACTTCTGGTTCCAAGAATTTTAAATAAAGGATACTCAACCTATATTCTTACTTACAATGTAAGGTACACACAAGGAAAGCTGCCACCGATTTATCAAAATACTTGTTGTACTTCTGAGGTCAAAATTATTTTTTCATTTACTTGTTAATATGGAAAATTTAAAGCATGGATAAAAGGAAAGAGAATATCAAATCAAGACTGCACTTCTTTCATCCAGACTTCTACCCAATTCCACAACCACAAAACTCTTTTATCCATAAAGATCTCAACATGTATTCTTTCATTTATTCATTTTTTTAAACAAGCTCCACCTTTTTTTTGGGGGGGGGGAAGAGTCTACAGGGTGTTCAGGGTCTCACTACTAGATCAGACTCATAGTGTTCTGCCTGTTTACAGCCTCCCAAGAGCTGGGATTACTGGCACACGCCACCACGCCCAGTCTCAATCACTGTCTCAGCATGCCCTGGGGGCTGGGCCGGCACAGCAGGCCACCAGATTGGACCCCTGGCCTCTGCACCTGCTTGCAGGTGCTTTAGTCTGCTGACCTATTTGGCCGGCCCTAACATGTATTCTTTTAAAGAACGCCTATGCCATTGCCATCCTTTTAAAATTTAATAATGATCCCTTTATATATAGCAGCATATCATGTTCAGATGTCCCCAGTCATTTCATGGTTCCTTCTTCTATAATTGTTTCGTTATCACCAGAGAGATAACTCCTCTTGATCCAACTCACTTCCAGAGAGGAACCATTAGAGCTTCATCCCTATTCCTCTTGGTATCCTCCATGGCTCTTAACTCTTGCCATCCAGCTGCCTTTGCTCTATGTGCGCATGCTGCAGTAGGTCCTGAAGGCCTGTCAACTGTCCTGCCAGTAGAAATGCACTAGATAGAGCCTTCATGTGTGGCAAATCTCTGCACAACCTGCGGATTTGAGACTTTGTCCTCCTTATGTACCATCAGGTGACTGATGGTCACATTCTTTTGTTCTGCAGCCTTGCTTTCCAAGTCTAAATAACATAGAATTAAAAACATTATCTTAATGTACCTTTTGGCCTAGCTTTCTCTGACCTGATGCAT